CCGTAAAGACATTTCACAGCATGAAGACACAGAACTGAGCTTGAGATGAGAACTTTGGAGCTGGAAGGGGCCTCAAGAAAGGCCCTGGAAGACAAGATGTGGATGCCCCTTGTCTGAAGACAGGATCAGGATGCTCCCAATGGGAGGAACCTGATGTAAACTCAAGGACAGATTCTGGAAGACCTCCCTCTTCTTTCCTGTTATGTGTGTGAGATGAAGTCAGGTATGGCCGTTGTGGGTGTTTCAAAATTTCAGACTGGGTTTCAAACGGGGTCTGACAAGGCACAAGTCCTTGTCATCCAGCCCTACATTTCCTCCAGAGAATTCCACGATGGTGGGGGAAGTCTGTTTTTTTTTTTTTTTTGAGACAGTCTTGCTCTGTCGCTCAAGCTGGAGTGCAGTGGCATGATCATGACTCCTCCAGGCCTCAAGTGATCCGCTTCAGCTTGCCAAGTAGCTGGGACCAGACATGCACCACACCACCTGGGTCACTTTTTAGTTTTTGTGGAGTTGGAAGTCTTGCTATGTTGCCCAGACTGGTCTCTAACTCCTGACCTCAAGTGATCCTCTTGCTTCAGTCTCCCAAAATGTTGACATTACAGGCATGATTCACCACTCCCAGCTAGGGAAGTCTTATTGCGAACTTATATATCAAGTTTCAGGAAAGGTTTGAATTCCTTTTTTTTTTGAGACAGGGTCTTGCTCTGTTGCCCAGTGTGGAGTGCAGTGCGTGATCATAGTTCACTGCAGCCTTAACCTCCTGGCCACAAGCAATTCTCCCGCCTCAGCTTCCCAAAGTGCTGGGATTATAGGTATGAGCCACTGTGCCTGGCCTTGAGTTCTTTAACATACTGAAAGCATTTTTATTGTTTAAAATGTACATACAGCAAGATTTGCCATTTTAAGGATAGCCTTATGACTTTTCATAAATGCTTTTCACACTACAGTCATGATAGAACACTCTTATGCCCATTTGTACTCAAATCCCCCACTTCTAACCAATTTGTTCATTTCCTTTATCTTTGCCTTTTCCATGTCTTATAAAAGAATACCATATAGCCTTAGGAGTCTTTTTGTAAAATTTGATGCCCTATTTGTAGAATTAATTATACTTGCTTTCTAGTGCTCTAAATTTAAGTTTTGACAATGCCCAATATAGGTTAAGCACAGGTTAAGCCTTCAAACTTGATTCCATCATCATGAACTACATGAATATACAAGACTGTGTGTTCCTGGCACTTAACTTTCTTCATCTAAGAGGGAATGATGGGTAAGGGGGTGTTAAGATATACAAGTGACTGCCAAATCACATTAATCTATAGAGCGCTATGAAAACTTATGTTAACATGGAAAGTAATGGAGATTATTGGTTATTGCTTGCTCTTTAACGAAACTCTAAGGACTTACGTGTTTTTCCTCTTCCCTAGTTAATTCTGGAAGTTCAGAGGCTGAAACCATACCTGAGAAAACTTAAAATAGGCTTTTGGGGCTTTCTGGCTCGTTAAAACAAAAGTTTCTGCCTCCTTGGCCTGTAAAACACATGAAAAATTTTCTCGTTTGAGGATGTCAAACATGTCTTCTTTTGTTCTGGAACTCACCTCTAAACCACAGAAATGATCAAACATTCCCCTCTTCTCCCCAATATGACTGGCTGCTGCTGCTTCACTGATCAGTTTTCAGCTCCAATTAACTTCTGCTTTATAGATGAGAACTTTGGGGGTTCCCAGAGAATTGTATTCATTCTCTGAGAACATCCAATCCAGACCAAAGCGTGGCTTCCCTGAACACTCACCAAAATCACAGAACACAAGGCCAAATCTGATAGTAAATCCTTTTAAACACCCTCTGACTGATACAAGCCACAGCCCTTTCTTGATTATGTGTTCAAACTTCAACTCAACACAGCGAATTTTGACTACCAGTGTGATCCTGGTGGTTTCTGGGTATAGGGCATTGACAAAATCATTATTTACGCTTTTTAATTGTTATTAACCACAAATAAGAAATCATTTTAGGCCAGGCATGGTGGCTCACACCTGTAATCCCAGCACTTTGGGAGGACGACGTAGGCAGATCACCTGAGGTCACGAGTTCAAGACCAGCCTGGCCAACATGGTAAAACCCCATCTCTACTAAAAATATAAAAATTAGCTGGGTGTGGTGGTGCAGGCCTGTAATCCCAACTCCTCGGGAGGCTGAGGCAGGAGAATCACTTGAATCTGGGAGATGAAGGTTGCAGTGAGCCAAGGTCATGCCACTGCCCTCCAGCCTGGGTGACAGAGCAAGACTCTGT